TACATCGAATAATGCTGTTCAACAAGTGGGCAAAGATATAAACAAATCAGTGTTAAATACGCTTCGAGATCAATTGACACCGACTCTAAATAAAAGAGTTCAAAAAAGTGAGAGAATAAAGCGACCAGCTAATTATAATATGACCTCGGCGGATGCCATATCTTACGCTGAAGCTGAACAAGCATCAAAAAAACAAAAACTAGATGAACAAGCTGCAAAGAAATTTTCAAGAGAACAAAAAAAGATTTCCACTGCTACTCAAAAAGCGAAAAATGCACAGAAAAGAGAAGAAAAAAAAAAGTTGAGACAAAGTCAGTCGTCTAAAATACCAGGTAAAAAAGGTATAAAGACAAAGAATCGATTAGAAGACCCTCATTTTCCTCAAGCTTCAAATAACATTTTAGTATCTGATGATCTTCTATGTTATTCTTGCGAAATTAATTGGACAAATAACTTATATAACCAATGGCTTGCAAGTGAGCAGTGTTCAAATTGGTCATGCATTGAATGTGTCTTTGATTATCGTCCAACCATGGAATTTATTTGTAACGAATGTGTGTAAAATAATATACATTCTTTTTTTATTAAACGATTTCATTTTTTTAATGGATTAAAATAATTATTTTAATGTTAGTATTATTTGTGTATGTGTTTTTCTGTATTTTATACGCATCCGGAATTAGGGACATAAGCACCTAATTCCGGATAAAAACAATATTTTTTAAAAATAAAATAAAAAATAGGTTTATATTGCAAAAATAATATTTTTTATATCGTTCGATTTATCTTGTTATGAAGTTTATTTATTCAAAAAAATTATTTCAAAATTCTTTATATTGAGCTAGTTATGCCAATTTAAGTCCTAAACCATTCGGAATTAGGGTTTTTTACGGTATTATAAAGAAAAAATTTGTGCATTTATAACATATTAAAATGTTTTCTGCTATAACATATTATTTCGAAAAAATTTGTGCATTTATAACATATTATTTCGAAAATATTTGTGCATTTATAACATATTATTTCGAAAATATTTGTTCATTTATAACATATTATTTCGAAAATATTCGTACATTTATAAAGCATTAAAAGCATTATTGTATATTATATAAATAGGACATAAATTAAAAAACATACTTTTTTAAAACAATCATTCGTTATTACACATTTAAAAACTATTATAATAAGAACAAAATATGTTTAAAAAAAAAAAAAAAGTACAAAAGAATAACAATTTTTTTTTTGATTTAATGACCTTCTTTTTAAGTTTTGTCAACAATCTGTCTAACTATGCACCATATGCTTTACTTTTCTATAAAATATTTCCACCTCCTCCTGTCTTAAATCTGTCTAATATATATGCATATAATGAATGCGCCGATAAGCAAATCAGTCAATTATTCATTAAAAAGTCATTGATAATTGGCCATTTATTGAATAATTGGCCAAATAACTATAAATAAATATAAGGAACGCACCGTTAAGCAAATTGGCCAATTATTAATTAAAAAGCCTTTGATAACTGACCACTGATTGATTAAAATAACAGGTTTCTTAAAATAACACCCATAAAAAGTTTATAAAGAGATTATAAAATAGACTGTCATTAATAATAATTTATTAGACTGTAAATAATAGATAATAAAATATTATATACTTAAATTTATTAGACTGTAAATAAAATATTATTAAATTTAAAATATGAAGTTAAATTTAAGTTTATTCTATGTTGTCAAACTTTTCTGCTGAAATTATTATAATAAACATTATGATAAAAAAAAAAAAAAAAGAGAAAAAAAAAATTAGCTATGTAAATCATTAGGTATCAGTAAAAAATTTTGCAACAACTAATATGTTAAACCTTTTTAGAAAAATTCATCCAGAAAAAAGAAACATGATAAATTTTCAAGGAAAGACAATTCAGGAACAAGAGGCAGCAACAACTTTTAACAAAATTTAAACTACTATAAAATCAATAAAGACAGAAAAGAAAAAAACGAAATTAATAATCAAAGGTCACAAGTGATCTATTACTTGATAGGAGAAATGACACCTGTTCAATTATTATCATATTCATTAACATGTAACATTAGTTAGGTTTATTAAAAAATTTTCAGAATTATAGCATTCTATTCTGAAAAAGAAAAAAATAATTTCACATACATAACATGCTTAAAAAGATAAACACAAGCATTTAAATCTCTTGATGAAATAAACAGCATTTCCTTGGATACAAACATTTAGTTAGCTACTAAAAGTTATGGTCCAAGCACAACATTGGTTTTTAAATGACTTAGTGCAGATTTGTACTTAGAGACATTCCATTTCTTAGTTTAGTCAAAAGTGAACCAATAAATGAACCATTGCACTATGGTTTGGATGGTATCTAACAAATTTTTTAACGTTAATTGATGCAATTGTTTGTAACCTCCAATTGTATAACAAAATATTTTGATAATCTTGGAAGTATTTCCAGTTGCATGAACAAACTGAACATTTTTTATCATTTATAAGTCTTAAAAAAATCAAAAAGTAGCCTTGACCATAGCTCAATTAAAAAAGAAGAGTTGATGAATTCTATTTTATTTTATGGGATAGAATTTTTTTTTTTAATTATTATTCATCATTAATTAAGCCTAAAGCAAAAGGCTCTTCTGCTAAATACCAAAAATGTAAATCAATTCACAGTAGTTACAATTAATTGACAAAATCACAGTAGTTACAATTAATTGACAAAACACAGTAGTTACAATCAGGGCTGTGGAGTCAGAGTTGCGGACTTACTACATTTTTAGCGGAGTCGGAGTCGCTAAACAAAATCGCGACTCCGACTCCTGTAGTAAAACTTCTTGGTATTGCACGTGCATGTACAAAACATTCAATCAACCTTATGTTCATACTAAACCTCAAAGAATAAGTTTGTTTCATAAATTTGTCAAAAAAAAACTTTTTAACATATTGCATAATACTTTTTAAAGAATTCAAAAAATTTTTCAAAAGTTTTGCTTTGGAGTGTAGTCGGAGTTGGAGTCAGAGTTGCAATCAAAAAATTTTAACAACTGGAGTTGGAGTCGTTACTTTTTTTTACGACTCCACACCCCTGGTTACGATATATGAAACATTTTCATACAACCAGTTCATCGAAACCCAAAGTTGTTGACTAATGCTTTCTTTTGAAATAAGAAAATAAAGATCTAATAAGTTTTTGTTCATTTACAATTATAGATAAATTTAAATTCAAATGAAATGTTTGTTATTAAAAGAAAATGAAAATATTAATAATAAAAAAAGGTTATTTTGGAGGGGAAATCCATTTCTGAAACTAAAATTACAATTAAGTACAATAAAAGTACTAATCAATAAAAGTCAAATTAAGTAAGACAATTTTATTTATTTTAACAATTGTCATACTTCTAGGTTGGTAGCATTGTCAGTGCAAGGCGGAGGGTGGATTTATAAAAAACATGTTTGCACAAAAAGTGTGAAACGTATTTAACTTAAATATCTAAACACTGAATTAAAAGAATCATTAGAACTTATTTAATGAAGCAGGATTTCTTATTTTACAACTTGTTGTGAAAAGCGTTAGAACATTTGATGATGATTACTCTTATAGTTTTAATAGTTTGTAAATTTGTTAAATATATCAATAACAGAACTGTAAATTTTTTTTTTTAATTTCAATTCACCTCCCCAAGGCCATGAAGTCAAGGAGTCAAGGAGGCTACTTTTACTTGTGGTTACAAAATAAGTAACATAAAAATATAAGTTTAAGTTACAAAGTAAAAGACTTTGATTTATAAGAACAACGTTTTGTTTACTTGCATTAAAGTTGCACAGGTTTCCATAAGAATGCTATCTTTGAAACCTTAAAAAATAAATTTACTAAAGGATACAAGAAAAAATTTGCTAAAGGATATTAGAGAAAAAATTACTAAAGGACACTAGAAAAAATGACAACTTTAAATTAATGCTATTTTAAGTATAACTGCATTTTGTTAATTTCTTAAACAAATTTTTATTAAAAGCAAAATTTTTATTAAAACTAAAGTATCAAACCATAAAAATTGTCATTTGTATCATAATTAATATTAGATGAAGATTTCATAAAAATTGTCATTGAAATATTCAACATATTTACAAATATTTACAAACTATTAAAATCATCAGAGTCTTTGATCATGTATTTGAGAAACCATCATCGAATGTTCTAATGCTTTTCACAGCTTTGTATTTAGTTGTAAGAAAAGAAATCCTGATGGTCTTTAGATAAAACCTGAATTGACATTTATGAATTATCATTGCATGAATAATTTTTAACAATACTTGTATTTATCAACTAATAGGAGGTATTAATGCTACTCATGACATCACTTAATAGTTAATGCTTAGTTACTAAATACAAAATTTCTCATGTTTATTACCTTAGTATTTTTGTAATCATCATTTTAAGTTTATATGGTGCAGCAAGGTAAAATCATAAGGTGCAAGCATAACACCCAAAAATCACAGTTTTCTAGCACATCAATGATTTTATCAGTAGGAAGGAATTTTGCCATAATTAACCATTCGAATCATTAAGTTAACAATAATTAATCATTTGAACCATTTAATGCTATTATTTTAAGAAATTAAGAACTTATAAATAACAGATATAAAAAAATGTGTTGTAGAGCATTTGTACTAAAAATCTTGAGCTATTTATTGAAAACTGTCTTTTTTTTTGTTGAGAATATTAATGTTTAAAAAGTAATCAACTTCATGATAAATGTAAAAAAAAAAAAAAGGATTATATGTATACTATCATATTTTATTTAAAAATTTGTTAACAGAGACTTCAATAATTTTTTTTGTGTGTTTTTATTACACTATACTAAACTTTTCATCGCCAACTCTTAATTTTCCCTTTAATTTTCTCCTCAAAACTATAAATTTTGATGATTTTGATGATTTGATCAACTAAATGATAACTTTATTTGATCAACTTACAATCTACTTACATTTGTATTTATCGCAAGTTGTCTTACAAGAACAGGAAGATTTTGATCTGAAATTATAAAAGGGTGGTTGTGCATTACACCAGCATCGCAATTGTCTTTTATTCGAATAGTTACCACATTGCTGTTATAGTCCAGTGGTCGGATTAATATTTCTGCCAAGCTCATTTGACCCTGGAATCAGTTGATTATAATACAGTAAACTAAAATGAAAATCAGAAGATTTGCATTTTAGTTTAAAAAAAGGTTGACAAAAACATAAATTAGTTCTTATTGTATGACCATGTGAAAGATTAATAAAAACTTACTAACATGGTATTTAACTTACCTTGATAGTTCCAAATGTGTACCCAAACTTTGACTCATCATATATTATTGTCACAAAATTATTCCCAATATGAAGTTTTTTGGAATAACATTGAGAATCCCTTTCTTTATTTGGCATAAGTGTTGCAACATGGAAAATCACTGAAAAAAAACTCATGTATAGAAAAAAATCATAAACATATAAAAATAATCTTTTAAAACTAATAAATCTACTAATAAAAATTGGTTTCCAAAATGTTAATAAAGATGACACGCAGTTTTTTCAGAATAAATGAACATTTATATCAACAAGGATCAGCAGGATATTAAATAGTGATTTCCACGCTAAGAAAATGGTACTGCAAGACGATGTTCTTTTCAGTGTTTTAATTTGAATCAATTATTTAAATTTAAAAGTAAAGTTGTGCAAATTATTAGTATAAATTAGCTGCAGGAAGAGTTTGTACGTTGTAGGTTTGTACGCTATGTGATCTATTGCTGGAAAAGTTTGTAACGGGTGATGGGGAAGTTATTGGACCAATCTAATTTTAATTATTTAAGCATAATAAATTGTTTTTGTGGTTTTATGCGTAGTCATAAACCTTCTATAAAATATAAACTTTATTACTTGAAACACAATTATTTAAAATGAGGTTATATGCAGCTGAACGAGAATCTTTTTGAAAGTGATTCAAAATGTTTTTTGTAAACAAACCAAATATAAAAAAAAAGAAATCGTAAATCATTTTGAAAAAGAAGGATTTGCTCAAAGTACAATATATGATAACCTAAAAAGAATTAAAACTGTTTAATGCTTTTCTTATAAAAAGCACCCTGGTCATCCTGGACTAGAGAAAAGAAAGCTGAGTTAATGAGACTTATCAACAATCAAAAAGGGGTTAGTCAGAGAAAAATAGGTTTTAAATTCGGAGTAAATCAATCAACAATTGGTCGTCAGTTAAAAGAAATGAATATTAAATATAGAAAATGTGAAAAGATTCCAAAATACACAATAGAACAACAATTAAAGGCAAAGAAAAAAAGCAGGAAAATAGTTAACCGACTCTATAAAACAAAATTGCTTTGGGTTATCGATGACAAAAATACTTTTGTTTTGTAGGGGACAACATGCCTGGAAATTCTGGACACTACCCAAAGAACAACAAAAAAATGCCCAGAAAGTGTTCATTTTATAGGAAAAGAAAAATTTCCAAAAAAATTAATGATGTGGATAGAATTATCTGACCATCGTGTGTCTGAACCATTGTTTTGCACTTTCAAGGCTGTAGCAACTAATTCATCAATCTATATTGATGAATGTTTAGAAAAATAACTTCTTCCATTCATTCACAAGTATCATGGAGACTTTAACTATTTATTTTGGCCAGATTTAGCAAGTTCTCATTATTCTAAAGAATCTCTAAATTGGACCAATATGTCTATTATGTTGATAAATAATCCAATCCCCCAAATGTGCCTCAAGCAAGATCAATTGAAAACTTTTGAGGACATTCGGCACAAAAGGTTTACAAGGAGATGGCAAGCTTCAACAGAGTAAGTTTTGATCGATCAAATTAAATTAAAACTACAAGAAATTGATTTAAATTTTTTACAGTTACTTATAGGGGTGTTTAAATAATGGAAAAAAATTACTTAAGCAATTTTAAGTAATTTTTTTTAATTTACTTAAGTAACTTAAGTAATTTTAGCTATTTTCCAAAAAATGAAAAATTACATCAAATATTACATTTTTGTGAGTTATAGTACTATATAGGTATAACAAATCATAACCTAACTAAACTTTCAGGATAGAAAGCTAAAAACTTAAAAATTTTATCAATTTATAACTCAAGGATGTTCTCAAATTTGTAATAAAAAAAAAGTCTAGAGCACTTTTCTTTAACAATTGATGATGTTGATGATGCTTTAAAGATGCTGATAAAAGCTTTGAAGTACAGTGCAATTTTTTAAGCATTTTTGGACGGTCATTTGATCCTTCAAATTCAGCCATTTCTTTTTTGATGCAATAAAAAACATTTAAGTAAGCCTTGTTTTTTATTAAATTGGAGTTTTGAGCAAGAAATGGTAAAGTTCTTCAGTCATTTTTTTTTCGTAAAGATCATAAGAAAGACGTAAATACAAATCTCCTGTTATAGTTTCTTATAAATTATAACTTATATTTTTTTTGGATAGTCTAAACTACAACCCTCGGAATTAGGAAAAACGAGGTCAACAATGAATTACTGACCTTTAACTGTTAAAGGTTTATCATAAAAACTAGAAACGAGGTCGGCGATTTTTTGTCAACCTCAAACACTTTAAGGTCAGCAATTAGGTCAGCAATTGCTGACCCATATTCCGAAGGTTGAAACTCTAATCTTTTTTTGGAAAATGAAAAAACCAAGAAAAATTTAAACTAAAAGTTATAATACTTAGATTTTAGGGTTCAAAATTAAAAATCAACTTTTATGCAAATTTTTATAAAATATATATTTTCCATTGATTTAATTTGGAAAAAAAAATTACTAGATTTTACTTAAGCAATAAAATTTACTTAAGTACTTGATTTGTTTAAACACTTAAGTACTTAAGTTAAAACTGCCCTAGTTGCTTATAAAAGACATCAGAGCAAAGTTGAGATCAATTGCAATTTATTTCAAAATCAATTGCAATTGATCTCAAAATCAATTGCAATTGATCTCAAAATCAATTGCAATTGATCTCAAAATCAATTGCAATTGATCTCAAAATCAATTGCAATTGATCTCAAAATCAATTGCAATTGATCTCAAAATCAATTGCAATTGATCTCAAAATCAATTGCAATTGATCTCAAAATCAATTGCAATTGATCTCAAAATCAATTGCAATTGATCTCAAAATCAATTGCAATTGATCTTAAAATCAATTGCAATTGATCTCAAAACCAATAACTTATGCATCAAATTATTAAAAAAATTTTTTTTAAACTTTACATAATAAGCAAAAGATAAAATGATAAATACCTTGCGTGGTATCATCTTTCCACGTGTATGCTAACTTACCATCAGCACCTGAACAATCCATTCCACCAGTAAAAATACCATTACTAATACATTCATGCAGTTGAACTAACTCACCCAGTCCAGAAATAAAATCAGTGTAACGAGTTGACCCAAACTCATTTGAAAGTATTTCAACTTCAGATTTCTCCTGACCACGATCAACAAATAAAACTCCAAACTTATGCGTATTAAATGTCGGAATCCGATCTAGTATGTGAACAGCTCTGTCAATGACCTCAAAAGATAGTATAACTTATAAATAACAAAATTTTAGATTATTTTTAAATATAGGTTACTATAAAAAACTTATCAATAAATAAGTTCAATATAAAAATGTTTTTTAATAAATATAGACTTATAAGATTAAATTAATCATCTTAAATTTCAAAAAACATTTTTTTGAAAACTTTTTTAAAAAATGTGCAGGAGGTAAAAAATCCTAATTATGCTGATTAAACTATAAATGCTGCTTAGAGTTAGAAAATTGTTTAGAAATAATTCTAAAAGAAGTGTTACATTTTATACCTAGAGAAAAATTCCTTTCAAATAATTTTAACAGATATGTAAACAAAACAAATATAGACACATGAATAGAGCTCATTTCATCACTCTTTTAGATTTATTTATAGATTATAAGTGTCATTTTTTAGATTTATTTACAGACTATAAGTGTCATTTTTTAGATTAATTATAGATTATAAGTGTTTTTGGAACAAAATAAACAAATTCTGGATTGTAATAATACTGTGTTGTAAATTTTAAATAAAACTAAATCTTTATGTCATTTAGTGTCTTGAAAAAAATTTTAATTTTGAGGTACATCAAATGACGATTTTGTGTTATTTAGTTTTATTTAAAACTTTAAACACACTTGGGTTTTGTGATTTATTAAGTAGTACAAACTTAATTTATTAAGTAGTAAAAACTTAATAAATCCTAAAACTAAAAAAAACAGAAAAACTGCTTGCATGCTCTGCATAAATAAATGCACTTCTTTCATCTTTTTGAAATTTTTTAATAAGATACAATTCAGTAAGAAATTATGGACTCCTAAAAATGGCTCAAACTAAAACCTAAAAAATTTTGCCATCTCTTCTAAACACCTGTAACCTAGGATTCACACTGTTCTTAAAAATGAAATTTTTTTCTACCGATTTAATAAACCTTATATGATTTCAGAAGAAAATAGTGGGCACTCACAGGGAAGTTTAAAATATAATTACCAAGTAATCATATTTTAATATTATTAAACTTGTTGAAAATTGCAAGTTTTTTTAAACTCAAAATGCAGCACAAGGTTTCAATTAGAACAACAATCAAACAACATCGCATCCTTTTATTATTTACTTTTTTGAAGTAACAAAAATAAAAAAAAATAAAGTGTTTGTATCATCTCAGATAATTTGCAACAAAATACAAACCCAGTTCATTGTTTCATTAATGAAGTAATAAAACATTTAAAAGAGTTGATATTTTACCTCGACCACTGTATTTATTTTAATGATGGTGCAGGTTCAAAATACAAAAATTATAAAAATATATCATCTAACTTAAGTCAACATGAACAAGATTGTGAAGTATCTGCAGAACAGTATTTTTTTGCTATACCACATAAAAAGAGTGCTTGTGATGATGTTGTCGAAGGACATCTAGCAAGGGCAATTTACAACTACTAATAGATCTTATCAATTTAATCTGAGAAAATGTATAATTGATGTAGACAAATTATCAAAAGAATACATTTTTATTACGTTTTAACTGATGAAATTATATTAGATTGCATAAATTTTAATATGAAGAACATTTTGTTACTTGTTCAATTATTCCAGGAGCACGATTATTGTTTTATACTACATTAAATACTTTACAGATAAGATAGGTGTTATTCGACAATGTGCATACAAATATATATGTTTCAACAATGCAGCAGACCAATGTTCCAACAATGCTGCAACAATGCAGCAAACCATAAGTTCCACTTGCTTTTCATTCACCAGGAAATTTTACTGCGTGTTTTTATGATGCAAAATATATTTAAATACATTAGACAATATTGTAGATAAAGAAAATCAAGAAAGAAGATCAACTAAAGAAAATCAAGATCCTTATCAAAATCATGAAGCAGTACTTTTAATCACTCAAGCACTTTTAATTGGCATTAAATGTTCAATCAGCAACCAGTAGATGATATGAATTATCAGCTCAAGAAAATACTGAAATAGTACATTAGAGTGTTTTCGACAATTTTTTGAAAATGGTTATGTTACATGCATAATGGGGTAAATAATGGCCAAAAAAAAGTCTGTAAATATTTCAAAATTTTGAAATGTAATCTAGAGGTCGCCATCTTGAAAAAATAGTATTTTTTACACTTTTTTTAACTTTAAATTTGAATAACTTAAAAAATAATTAATTTTATGTTACGTTAATGGATGCATATATCAAAAGTAGCGCACTTGCCTCAGAAACGTAAGATCTGTAATTCAAACCCCACCTCTGGGCAAGTTTTGCGACATCAGTTGGGAAAGAGGCGTGAACTTCCTATTAAATGCTCTTCTTCATTTTGCGCACACTCGCGGAAATCACAAATAACAAATGATTGTGCCGAAAGAGGAATCAATAAAGTTTGATTTGTTACCTTTAATTGTTTAACAAAATTTTCTGTGGTTCGATAATCCTAGAAGAACTTCCACTTTTGTGGATTCATCTAGAGTCATTCCTAGTTGTTTATTAGTCCTAATAAGTTAAAAAGAAGCCAAAACCATGGTCCAAACAAAAAATAAAGAAAGGTTGAAGAATTTAATGTCGGTAATTTTGGTTTCCCAATTAAAAAAGTTTTTGTATTTTGGTAGAAAAAAGTTTCTTTGCCATTATTGTTTTGGTAAATTCTGACAATTTTTCATTAAATAAAGATAAAATAGCAAGCTCTTCTGTTAAATACCAAAGGTGACAGTTAATCGACAAAATCACAGCGGTTGCGATATCTGAATTTTTATTCCTGATACCAAAAAGAGAAAATAAAGAAATCCTTGAGCGGAGAAATTGCATCAAATAAAAAAACTAATAAACTTAAGGCCTTATTTTAAAGCGTTATGCCTAGAGCGATTTATGTACGCCTTAAGCAATTTTTACATAGGCGTAGAGCGATTTCGGTTAAGCTACTTTTTATCTTTTTTTAACTTTTAAATTAGCGGTAACATAAAAGAAGTAATTAATTTTTAAAAAAACCACATTAACTTTTGAATAACGATATGTAAAAATATTTGTTACAAAAAAGAAGTTAAGCTAAAAATAATTGTAGTAACTTTTCATTGCGATATATCTTACTTTTTTATAGCAATTAATTTTACGCTAAACTTTTTATATCTAGCAACATGAAAAATTGTTTATCATTCCTTAACTACAATTTTTTGAAAATGTTTTAATAAAAAGAAGTAATTTTTTTAAAGTTTTCAGTAAAAAACTTTAAAAAAATCTATAATCTAAATTTATTTATACAGAATATGTTTTTTGTAAAATATAGATTTTTTTTACTGAATTTTTAATAAAAACATTTGCAAAAATTTGTAGTTAAGGATTGACATTTTTTTAATATCTCAAAAAAACTGTCTTAATATTTTTGTTATCATGATAACAAAAATATCAATTCATTTTTTCGCTTTATTAAAAAAAATTTTTATATTAAAAATTTTTTTTCAAATTATTCAAATTATTTGTATTGTACTAAAAATTACTTTTTCATTAACTATTACTCTTTGCTTTTCTTATTAGTTAAAGGTAAATAGATACCTTTACCTTTATTTATTCTTTTTTTATTTTATTATTTCAAATTAAATTGCTTACAAAAAAAAAAAAAAAAAAAAAAAAAAAGAGTTGTGTAATTATACATAGAATGAAAATACTTTTGAGTTTGTTTATAAGTTAAGGAACTTAATTTTTAATGAAGAAATTTTAACAAAGGTTTATTATAAACAGATACGATTCAAATTATTAAATATACTTATATTGTTTTAGTTGAGTATTTTTTTAAGTTTGCACGATTATAGTATTGCATAGAAGTATTTAAAAAGTTTTTTGTTTTAAGATTAATTAACAAAAGAATTTACATAATTAAGACATTTATATTTATTTTAATTTTTTTTTTTTAATTTCTTAAAATTCGAAAAAAAAAAAAAAAAAAATTTAACAGTTAAAAAGGATTATTCTTCAAAGCTTTGTGATTTGTTTAAAATGTAAAACATTTTTATGATAACGTAAAAAATTTAATGCGTTCTAAACTACATATCAAAAATATTTCAAGTCATGAAACTTTTTTATATTTTTATTCAATGCAAGTTAAAACGCTAAGTAACATAAATTTAAAAATATCTAAATTATTCTTTGCTAGTCAAAACAAAATCGCTGTTTAAATAATTAACAAGGGTTTTTGTTTATCATTATGTTAATATTTTTTGTTTACTCCCGAAATTTTTAAAAATAAAAAATCATAATTATTCAATAACGATTTATAAACAATTATTCAAAAACAAATTTCAGAAGTAATTAAAATATATATATATTTTTTACTAAATAATATTGAACTAAAATTAATAATAGAATAACAATTGAAAACATAATAAACTTTTCATAATATATTTACATTTAAAACGTTTATAGTTATTTGAGTTAGTTGTTAAATTGAACTAGTTAGCGGTTATTTATTTATTGCGGTAGTTAAATACTTAACGTCTATATATAAAAAAAGATAATTTTATGACGTCAAATATCGCGTTAAGCTAATGCATTAAGCACTTTTTTATTTAAAACAAGGCCTGAACTTAGCCATGTGATGGATCATAATTTGCTCATCATTGGATATAATAAATTTATCAGATAAGAGTTCCATTTTAAAAATAAACATAGAATGTGAAATAAATCTCACACTGTGAATTGCACCTGGTTTGTGAATTTTCATTGACTTTAAAGGCACTAGATATTTGATCTTCCGTTGACCTTCTCCAAAATCCATGCTTAGTCTATTTTCTAATACATACATACAGATGTTTATTTTGCAAACTATTTAATCACGCAACGACTTTTAGTCAATTATGGTCAATTATGCTCAAAACTTAAATTTTGCATTTTATTTAAAGTATTAAGTTTTTCAAAGCATTTAAGGAAATTTTCAGCAAAAAAATATGTTAAAAAAAATTAAACTTTATAATATGGCTACCTCTAGACATTAACCAATTTTTT